CACACACCAGCACACAGCACACAGCACACAGCACACAGCACACAGCACACAGCACACACCACACACCACACAGCACACACCACACAGCACACAGCACACAGCACACAGCACACAGCACACACCACACAGCACACAGCACACACCACACAGCACACAGCACACACCACACAGCACACAGCACACAGCACACAGCACACACCACACACCACACAGCACACACCACACAGCACACAGCACACACCACGCGCCGCACTACCCACACACCACACAGCACACTACCCACACACCCCACACTAGCGTGCGGCACACGCAGACGCTCAGCGGGTCGCTCCATCCCTCCACACGGCTTCCGGCCCCAGAGCTCAATGCTGTTCTCACCCGAGGCAGTTTTTAAAGATACTTCTCCAGGAAATACACGTTTTTGACTCTGTAAAAGTCTTGACACATCACCCATTTGGTTAGACACATTCTAGTGTCTGAACCCAAAGAGTTTGGCTTCTTTTCCTGCCTTCAGTCCTCCAAAGACGGCCGGGGGATCAGCATGGGGGGCACAGACTCCAAAGAGGGCCGGGGGATCATCACACGGGGCACAGACTCCAAAGACGGCCGGGAGATCAGCATGGGGGGCACAGACTCCAAAGAGGGCCGGGGGATCAGCATGGGGGGCACAGACTCCAAAGAGGGCCACGGATCAGCATGGGGGGCACAGACTCCAAAGAGGGCCGGGGGATCATCACACGGGGCATGGAGAGGGTGGTGAACATCTCAGCCGACCTCAAGGAGCCGCTTGAGCCGAGGACACACAGTTCGAGCTGCAGCACTGACGGGCTTCCAGGACTTGGGGCGGGCCTCACCCGGACCCTGTCCTTGCCATGGATACACTGGAGGAGAAAATGTGGCTTCTCAGACCACTATTTACGGTGGGGGGGGTCAAAGAGTTTGAGGAGAGGGAGAACAGAGATGGGGAGATGGGAGATGGGGGGGAGGGATGGGAGAGGGAGGGGGAGAGGGAGGAGTGGGAAGGGGGGAAGGAGGAAAGGGAGGAGTGGGAAGGGGGGAGGGAGGGGAGAGGGAGGAGTGGGCAGGGGGAGGGAGGGGCTGGGGGGGAACAGACCTTTAATGCATGTACTGCGCTGGTTCAGGGCTTGGCACACACATCTTTTATGAACTGTCACCTCCTTCCCCTCTACAGACAGCTTAAAGCAAAGCAAGCGCCCGGCCTACAGGACTGGAGAAGAAAACTGCGCTGCGTTCTGACAAGACAGCTAAAAGATGGCGGATTAGTAGTTTCTGAGAAGACAATTGTTTACACGGGAGGCTGTTTCCTTTCCTGTCTTGGGGCCTCCGTCCCCACTGGCGGGTTCACAGGAACTAAATGGGCCTGAGGCTGGAAACGTCCTCTGTGGGAGACCTGTTTGAATAAACATGACGAAAGTGACCTCATGGTCTGGAGGGCTCGGTGCCGTCTGGTGTGGTCAGCTAGAGACGCGCGCTCTTCACCGGCCTGGGCAGCTCCGCACGCTCGGCTTTTGGTGATGTTGACGCCACACAGACTCCTGCAGAGTCCACAGCCTGGGAAAGGAGTCTTGGATCACACTGGGGTCTTGTGAACATATTAACGCTCATATCCTTCCTGTGCAAGGCAGGCTAGTAACTGTCAGGGAGCAGCCGCTGCTGCAGCCCTGGGTGTTAAACCTGCCCATGGCTTCCTTCACACTCATCTTTTCCACATACTCTTACTTTTTGCACGTTCTAATGGACTTTGTATTTGTCTGCTACAAGTGTCATTTTTAACACCAAATGGAACTTCAAAAATGATGGGGCAGCAAAAAGAGTTAAAAAGGGAGGGAAAGTAGAAAAGGAGGTGAAGCCAGGTGGAGGTCAGCATGCAATGTGGCCTCACCAGACACCTGGCCTCCCTGCAAAGTTGGACTCACAGCTCACAGAGCTGCCGCTAATCCCTCCAGCAGGTAGTCCGAGAAGGGAGAACAGGAAGAAGAAGGAGAAGGAGGAAGAGGAGGAGGAGGAGGAAGAAGAAGAAGAACCCAGCAAATGGTAAAATGTTCTTAAGATAAAAGCAAGCAAATGGAAGTCTGGCTGATACCAAATCCAGGCAGAAATCTTCTCTACACTCTGTCACTGGACTTAGGAGCGATTTCCCTGACAGTCTTAAGAAATGTAATATCCTGGGGATGTTTCTCTAAAGCAATCTCACTCCAGTGGGAAGAATGCTGGTGACTGAGGACAAGGCCCTGGAGTGCAGCTGCACCTCCGATGAGGGACGGAGCGCGGGCTCACTCTTACGGAGATGTGATGCTGTGGACACGTCCTGCGTGCTGGGCGGGCCGATGAGGGCAGGGACCAGAGAGAAACGCCAGTGACTCGAGCTACATGCAGGCGGGCAGACATTC